CATTCTTAATTTCTAGGAAAAGTTCCACATTCTGCTTCCTGTTCCAAGCACAGTCCGCTTTCAGATGAAAAAAGAGAGGGGCTGCAAGCCTCAGACTAGCCTCTTACTCTTACTCCTTTTTCCTTTCTTGGAGAATTTCAAGGCTTCTTGGTGTCACGTTCTGTGGGAATGCTTCCTCATTCGAGGATGCTGAGATCACACTCTGGAGATCATTTCCTGATCTGACACTGCCCCTAACGACCTGGTTATATTTTGGTACTTGGCAAGCGGTAGCTCACAGGGTCGGTCCAGCCCCCCACCTGGTTTGTACAGTTTATGAGAACACAGCTGTGACTGTTGGCTTCGGTGTAGTGTGGTCTGTGGGTGCTTTCTCACTACAAGGGTAAAGCCAAGTAGTTGTGACAGAGACTGTATGTCCTGCAAATCTAAAACATTTACTCTCTGGCCCTTACAGAAAATTTCTGAGCCCTTTATAAAAGACGGCTCAGAGGTGCTGGTACCTGTTCTATTGTAATTAGCTGTGTGACCTTGAGCTTTCTCCTAGAGCTTTGCTTCTTCATCTGTAGAAAAAGACAAAGTGTACAATTGGAGCAAATTCAATTCAATTTCAGCAGTTTGAACACTACTATATACCAAGCCAAAGAAAACTGCTCTCAAACTGGCTTAAGCAATCGGAAAACTTATAGGCTATGCAGCTTTTGAAAAAGAAAAAAAGGGGGAGTGGGGGGCGAATGGGCATCAGGGAGGTTTGATGTAGTGACTCCGTGGTGTTACCAAGACTCTGTTTCTTTTCATTGTCTTTACTGAGCCTCCTGATGTGCCGGCTTCGTCAGAAGGCTCACATTCCCTCACATTTGTGACTTGGTGGTGAAATGCTCCACAAGCTCATTATTGCTTTGTTTCTGTACCAAGACAGAAAGGAAGATTGGGATGCTGAGCACACGTTTCTCTCAGCCTCAAACAGTAGTACCGGACCTCTGAATTAACTAATTGAATTAACTAAGACCAGAGGTCCACCCTTACTCAATCACACCGGCCAACGGAAGCCAGCCTCCTGTGTGCCTAGTGATCAGTCGGCCTCCACCTTTGTTTCTGAAGGAGAAATTGATCAATTTCCCCCCAAACCACATGGCGACCACCCAGCATGAAAGGAGCAGAATTGATGTTGGGGAGGACACGACAAAGTCACTACACAGGGCAAAGTAACAGAAAGGGTGTTTACAAGAGCTCCAAGAGTTTAGACAAACTTTTAAATAAGTTGTGTAATGTAGTTTGTTCTGGAAATGATCTTCACAACCTGCCCTTTCTGTTGGTTCATTTACCTGGCAGGGATTTAATGTGAAAAAAAAAACAGTCCCTTTATATACACTGTTGCTTCCAATACTTGCTCTTTGAACAGATGGTCAATTAGGGTTGACCTACAATGTATAGTAAAATGAAAAATAAATCAGTTTTGATTGACATTTTCTTTTTCTTTCCTAGGTAACTATAAAACCAGTGGGGGATTCCTCTGGTTCCCCAAAGCAGAGAGTCCACAAAGGGGCATTGTCCCTGGTGTGCTTTGTGTTTTTTGAGTTATGATGTAATCTCACTAAGCCTGTGGGCTTCTCTCTCTCCAGTTGTTCTCTCTCTCTCTCTCTCTCTCTCTCTCTCTCTCTCTCTCTCTTCCCCCCTCTTCCTTCCTCTCTGAAATCATTAAAAACAAAAAGAAACGGAGGGATTGAAATCAAGGAACAGCTGTGGAAATATCAGAAACACTTTCAGACAAAGTAAGCAGATGCCCTACACACAACAATGACAGCTAACACTGCTCAGACTCCTACTACTGGTCAGCCATTGCACTGCATGTTTTACAGACATTACATTTTAAATTCTCACAAAAACATAAGAAGTATAGATCAGTTTTATTCTGCAGATCTGGAAATAAGGACTAAAATAGGTTATGTTGAAGGTTTGATCTCTACCCCCAGTCAGAGAGTATGCGGAGGCAACCAATCAATATGTCTCTCTCACATCAATGTTTCTCTCACTCTCTTTCTCTCTTTCTCTTTTTCTCTCTTCCTCTCTTCCTCTCTCTCTCTCTTCCTCCATCCCTTCCACTCTCTCTAAAAATCATTGGAAAAAATATCCTTGGGTGAGGATTAACAACAACAACAAAAAAGGACAGGAACTAGGAACTGGTACAGCCTAGGGCAGTGGTCGGCAAACTGCAGCTCGCGAGCCACGTACCACGTGCAGGCGCACACGTACAGTGCGATTGAAACTTCGTGGCCCATGCGCAGAAGTCGGTATTTTATGGAAGAGCCACACTCAAGGGGCCAAAGAGCCACGTGTGGCTCGCGAGCCGCAGTTTGACGACCACTGGCCTAGGGAAATCAGAAGGCCTCTCTCTTTCCATCTTTCATTGCTGCTCCTCCCTAGAACTCTAGAGCGGTATTTCTCAAAGGGTGGTCCCCAAACCAGCAGCAGCAGTAGCAGTGGGAACTGTTAGAAGTGCATATTCCTCAGCCCCACCTTAGGCCTCTGAATCAGAAATTTGTAGGGGTGGGGGGGGGGAGCACTCAACAATCTGTGTTTTAACAAGCTTTCCAAGGTTGAGAACCATTTCTCCAAAAGCCTCTCTCTGCAATCTTCTCCACGTGGAAACAAATGGCCTCTGCCCACAGCTACAGTCTAACTCTTTCCACATTCAGGAGAGATCAGACTTATGTCAGATTGCTAGCTCCCAATTTGATGCTGCTTGTGACCAAGGAGGTTGAGTCAAGTTTCAGCGGTTCTCAACCTGTGGGTCGCCAACTGCGGGTCGCGACCCCTTTGGGGGTCGAACACCCCTTTCACAGGGGTCGCCTAAGACCATCAGAAAACACATATGTAATTACATATTGTTTTTGTGATTAGTCACTATGCTTTAATTATGTTCAGTTTGTAACAATGAAAATACATCCTGCATATCAGATACTTACATGACGATTCATAACAGTAGCAACATTACAGTTATGAAGTAGCAACGAAAGTAATTTTATGGTTGGGGGTCACCACAACATGAGGAACTGTATTAAAGGGTCGCGGCATTAGGAAGGTTGAGAACCACTGAGTTAGATGAACATGGCCACTTCGTCTATAACCCTATCACGGAGTTGGGGGAGGAGGGTTCTCTCAAAATTGGAGAGTCCCTCGCCAGAAAACTAGGAAAGACGCTGGCCACTGAAGGTAGGACATCAAGGTGAAGACGTTTAGTAGTCAGTTAGAGGTAGAAACAGTCTTTATTAAAGGATTCTGGGATGCTCATCATAGATTAGAGGTCTGAATCTATGCAGGCAGGAACGTGGCCTGTCCACAGCTCATGGCTGGGCTGGGACAGTCACAGTTCAGCACATATGCCAGGGGGCTCTGATATTACAGCTGAGCATCCTCACAGCACGCGTTGTCCCTGAAAACCTTAAATATTGGCACAAAAGAGAAAGGAGAAAAGTAAACATAAGAATAAGGCTAACTGTGCTCGGCTCTGAACAGCTGACCCCCTGGGCCTGATTACCCCGTATTGTAACAATGACAGCAGTGATCACCCGACAGGCTTCAGCCAGTTTCCCACGCTCTGCATGTGCTGGCTCTCCTCAGCCAGTGCTCAGAGGCTCCCCGGTGTTAGACAAGGCCTAAGGGTGTAACAGGACTCGGATTATTTAACAAGCGACCCATGTTTCCTTTCAGATCGAAACCCTTGAAGATGAAGGCAATGTGGTGATTCAAATGTACAAGCTCATTGAACAGTATCAGGTTCCCACACCGCCGGAAGACTTTGCTGTCTTTGCCACCATGAAGCCATCCATTGTTGCTGTTCGGAATGCCATCGATAAAGCCGTAGGTGATAGAGACGCAAGCATTAAGCAATTTTGTCTGCATTTGGGTAAAGATCTTGAAGATCTAACCAATGAAGTGAACGATGTCAAGCTGCAAGCACAGGTAAGTTAGGGAAGATTTTTAAAAAAATGTGTAAAGTTTGACTACTGTGTTTTAATGGAACCATTTCGGGAGCCTATTTTATTTTAATCTGATTTTACTTCTGTTTTATATGACTTTATTCTGACCAATTAACATGGTCTTTGAACTTCTATTTCTGAACTCTCTTCAAGTACTGAATACACTTCAGACCATTGCAAGCAGAGTATATACATAATAATTGAACTTTATTTATACTGGCTTGTACTTATTATTCTAAAATGCGTGTTTTTACAATTTGTTAGCATATTTATAGCTACTTCACAATGAGTTTTCTTAGCCACATATTCGAAAATTTCTATTTAGGAAGAGGCAGAATATAAAGCAATAATGATAGTGAAGACTATTTGGTTAACCTGCACTAATTTTACTATACAAAAGATACAAGGGGAATTTTTTAATAATTTAAAATAGACATCTGGGTGATTCTTAACTGACGCATATATGAACATCTGATTTTGTAATATCCATTTTAACATTGACTAAAACTTATCACAGAAGTATAGAACCATATAAAGTTATAATCAAATCAGGATAATTGGGAAAAAGTCAATGTCCATCAGCAAAGGATTAGTAAAATGTGTTAGGGTACATGTACCCAAAGGAAAACAAAGCAGACATTAAAGATTACAATATACATTTAAACGCATTAACGTGGGAATGTAAAAATAGCTAACATGTATTGTGTACTTGTTATGTGTCAGGTACTAAAGTACTTTTGTATTTTCACACAGAGAAAACTGTACATAACTAATATCTGTACAGCTTAGTGAATTATCAGAAAGAGAACACATCGTGTAGCCACTACTCATGTCAAGAACCATAACGTTACTGGTTCCTTTAGTGTCCCCTTTTATCACTAACCCTTTCCTCCTCTCCACATGCACCCACTACCCTGAATTCTAAACTATAAATTAGTCTTGCCTGTTTATGAACTTCAATTACATAGGATCATACAGTAGTATGCCCTTTGATTTTCATTCCTGAGATCCATCCATGTTGCTGTGTGTGAATGTAGGTTATTATCCATGTTCATTATTATATAGTGTTTCATTGTATATCACAATTTAATTATCCACAGTTGATGGACATTGGGATTGTTCGTTTTGGGCAATGATGAATAATGCTTCCAGGATCATTTGCATGTTTTCACTCATTTAATCCTCAGAACACTGATAAAGTTTTATTAGTCACAGTTTTATAGAGAAGGAGACCAAGACACAAAGAGGTTAAGTAATAATAAATGGAGGAACCAGACTTCAAGCTTAGTCAATCTGCTTCCAATGATTAATAGCCTGGTTAGGTGCTGCACTATATACTGCTTTCCATACAGAGCAGGCAATACAAAGTACAAGTGATTACCCTTTGTTTACAAACAGTACCTATGTGTATAGATGGGTTGCTAGAGAGAGCAGAAGTGCCAGCAAGTGCTTCATGTGTAGTCGCCCATTTTTAAAAGTGTGATGCACACACACAAAAGTGATAGCGGAGGTTCTCTCCAGCAAGTGCTCCTCCTACAGAGGGTTTGGAATTAACTCATTCTCACTCCAGCGAAGAACTGCAACTTCACCATTTCCATAAATGGTACCACCTTACTGTCAATGACTGTTGATAAAGGGAACTGGAGGAAAACACCTAAATGTGGCCATTGATGATCACACAATTTATTTCCGTTTGAAATGTCTCTTTTGTTTTTATTTGGCCTCTTTGGCATAGATTTTAACTCAAAATTGGAACTCCCTGTCAAGCAGGTCTTCCCCCCCCCCCCCCCCCCCGCAGCTCCATCAGGGGAAATCTGCATTTCCTCCCGGTGGATGGAGGGGAGGGGTGTCTGGTCCACGTGCTGCCCTCTGGAACACAGGGCTTCCAGTGCAGGTTGGCTGGGGTTGGGGGTCCCGGGCAGCTGCCAGCTCAGGGTCCTTCCTGGTTCTTTCGGTGCCATGCTAGCCCCTTCTGCTGCATTCTGCCATTTCTGCCATAGCCTGCAGTCTCAATCTGTGACTTCCTAATCCTGACCTCAGACTTCCTCTCTCCAGCAGTGCTTTCAGCAATGCCCCTGCCAGCATCAAGGCCATGAGGAGTCCATGATCCCCTGCATGCCACTCCCAGCCAGGAGGCGCCAGAGCGCCAACCCAAGCCCCTTCCTCCTTGGACATCTCCCTTCACTTTTTCTAACCAAGAACATGTTGCCATTTTGAGTGCAGGGACATGCTGTATCGGGGATGGGATCATTGGCCTCCCCACGCCACGGCTATGACAGCTCTGATTCCTCAGTTGCCTCAGAGTTTCCCAAACCTGGTTAGGTGTTTCTACTTTGTTCCTAAATTTTTCCATTCCTGTTCACAGGATGGGGCTTCCACCCACCAGGTCAGCCAGAAAACATGTCTGACCATTTATTCTTTATGTTCTCTCTTCCTCCCTCTCAGAATTCAAAGGCTTTCTATTTTTTTTATTATAAAATGAGAATTTTCCTTGTATTATAGTCTCTTCCTGCTTTTCTCTATTGCACTCACCTCTCCTTACCTGAAGTCACATTTGTGGAAGAAGTGTAGGACATGAAAGCAGATGAAGGAAGATATATTAGGTATTATTTAAAACTAGTGGCCCGGTGCACGAAATTTGTGCGGGGGGGGGGGGGTGTCTTTCAGCCCGGCCTACACCCTCTCCAATCTGGGACCCCTCAGGGGATGTCCCACTGCTGGTTTAGGCCCGATCCCACAGGCAGTGGGACATCCCTCTCGCAATCCAGGACCACTGGCTCCTAATCACTCACGTGCCTGCCTGCCTAATTGCCCCTAACCATTCTGCCTGCCAGCCTGCTTGCCCCCAACTGCCCCTACCGCTGGCCTAATCACCCCCAACTGCCTCCCCTTGCCAGCCTGCTTGACCCCAACTGCCCCCACCGCCGACCTGCTTGCCCCCAACTGCCCCCCCTTGCCAGCCTGCTTGACCCCAACTGTCCGCCCTGCTGGCCTGATGGCCCCTAACCGCCTCTGTCTCGGCCCTGCCACCATGGCTTTGTCCAAAAGGACTTCTGGAAGGTCTTCTGGTCTAATTAGCATATTACCCTTTTATTAATATAGATCATTGTTATTCCCATGGATAAGATTTTTAATGCATTTCCATAGTTTTTATAATACATATGTGTTGCGTTACAATTCAGGTAAAGCCATCATTTTAACATATTTTATAAAAAGCAGAGTGAGACGAGAATTTGAAAAATATGTTTTGAAAATGTTTGTTAATTTATTGCAATGGTCTACATCAAAAAGCAGGAACCGCTACTCAAAAGCTACCTTAATTTTACAGGATCCCCAGATTTTGGATATTAATGCCGACCAAGACAAAGTAAAGTCCCAACTGAATGAGCTGCAGTTAATTCTGGATGATCTTCAGAAACGTGCATTTCAATATAAATCTTACCAGAAAAATTTCAAGGTAATGACAGCTCTACGTGTGTTCTTATTTTTTTGAATTTATTTTTATTATTGAGAGTATTACAGATGTCCCCCTTTGTCCTCCCTTTGTCCCCCTCCACCTGGCTCTCCCTCCGCCCAGGCCTTTACCTAAATATTGTCTGTGTCCAGGTGTTAGAGCACCGGTTCTCAACCTGTGGGTCGACCCCTTTGGCGGTCAAACGACCCTTTCGCAGACCATCCTGCATATCAGATATTTACACTGTGATTCATAACAGTAGCAACATTGTAGTTATGAAATAGCAACGAAAATAATTTTATGGTTGGGTCGCAACATGAGGAACTGTATTTAAAGGGCCAGAAGGTTGAGAACCACTGTGTTAGAGACACCTCTCACGGACCCCAGAGAGCTGTTACAGGACAGCCCCCTGAGCCAGTGGGAAAGGGCTGTCCCCAACCTCGATCCACGTATTCTCACATAAATGAATTTATACGCAAGACCTTCACTGCATTGTGAAAAGCCAACTAATTAAAGCAATTAAAGCATGCATCTTTATTGAAAAAAGCAAAAGCAAAGCAAGGAAACCTATACACTGGCTTATGAAGCAGACGGGCTCTCAGCTCGTCTGAAGAGCAGGTTGGGTGGGGGTCTGAGGGATTATATGCCCTCCTGTCTATAGGCTTCGGTATTCCTCTGCTGACTATTGTGGTGCAGATTAATTCTCAAGGTCCCTTTTTTTACATTGTTGTGGCCTTCCCAGAATTCATGAGAAGCACCTGGTAATTTTATCTCGCCAAGCCTTGAGATTGCTGGCTTCTCTGCTTAGGGGGTAAAACTGCCCTTTTCCCCCCCTTCCCCTTCCTCCATCCCTTTCTGTATTCTCTCATTAGGGAGGTTTTTAAACCATTTGCTCTGGTGCTCTGGGGAAGATAATGGCTGGTTAGTTAATAGCTGGCTGCAAATTGCCCCATACCGTTTGGCCTTGTTTTAACTTTCCTGTCTCAGTTTCTCTATTCCTCCTGCCCTGGAATCCTGTAACACATGGACTATGCATATATGCATATAAGTTCTTTGGCTAGTCTCTTCCTGCCCTCCTGCCCCCTTCCCTTTGAGAGCTGTCAGTCTACATGTGTTTTTAAAACATGTCCACAGAAATGACACTGATGCACAAGTACTTTCAACAGCGTTACTGTGAGAGGTTCACATTTCGTGACCTTCAGAGATATACTTGAGCTACTGCTTTCATCCGTCAGGCTACTCCTATTATGAGACTTAACAAAATTCATCACTGAGAACAAAGTTTCACAAGCGTATGTGGATGAAAACCGGGAGAGTAACGCTGCTGCAAAGTTTTTTAAACAGGAAAATTTTTCTGGAACGGCATTCCAAGTCCTCAATAGTTCGTTTTCGACACTATTGAAATTGCTCTTCCCCTCTCTCATCAATCCATGTCTATGGGTCTTTAAGATAACTTGTTATGTAAAATTATTTATTTATCTAAGATGCACCTACACTGAATTTATCTGAAAAATAAAAAAGTCAATATTAAGAAAAAAATTGTAAATGGAAGATTATATACAAGAGAGGGTTTCGCGTGCCAGCAAAAGTTACTGGCCTGCCATGTTTGGCACGCGTGCCAGGGGTTGCCCACCTCTGACATAGATCCATGTATGCTGCTGCTATTGGCTGAAGAATTCAAAGCCCTACCTTAGTGGGGGTGAGGGCTCACAATTTCAGTGCAAGTGACTTCCCTGGAGGTTCCCCACCTCTGAGCCAAGGTAGTCTTTAAAACACTTCAGGAAAACAGCTTCAGACGTCCCCTCAGCAGCGTTTCTCTCTATAGGATTCGTAGACAGCCAGTGGGGTTAAAAAGAGGCAAGAGACCAGTTGGTCCTCTTCATCTTAAATCACCCCATTCCCTCCACCAGCTACTGTGCAAACATCTTCTTCCTCTTCTGTCAGCTAAGCCCTAAAGGGAGTCAGCCTCAGTTTCTGAAGATTCATCTGTTTTCCAAAAAAGGCCAAGCATGTATAGGCATGTATGATCCAACTTGAGGAAAAATGCCCACGGGACTCTTGTGATCCATGGATATTTTCATTTAAGGAAATATAAAGAGTTATATTTTGTCACTCAAATGGAAATTTGAATTTACATGTGTGTGTTTTTCTTCGTTTGTTTCTCTCTCATTCTTTTCCCCAGTTAGGCTCCCCCACATATTCTGCTTAGTCACTGTATCAAGAATTACTAATAGGAGGATAACAGGTGTTTATATCTGAAAATTAAAGAGTGCATTTTGTTTATTACATATTTAAAGGTGGAAGTTTCTAAGTTTGAAGATTTGGAAGTAGTGAGTGCTGAAGTGAAGCTCAAACAATTACTCTGGGATTCTATGTCCGAATGGGATCAACTCCACCAAGAATGGTTACAGGTAAAAAAAAAAAAAAAAAAAAAAGCTCTCAATTCTTAAATCATGTTTGTTTTAATGAAACTTAAAATCTTTACATCAATTATAATTGTTAAGCAATTTTGGTGACATATGCAATGTTATCATGTTATGGGAATTGTTGTAATTTTTCCAGTGACAAGCACAAAGGTCTTTCTGTCAGTGTACTTCATAGCATAATGCATGATGGGAAGGCAGCTCCTCAGGTCCCCGTTGAAGAAGGCTCAATGAAGAGAGCGCCAAGAGGACCTTGACTGCTCTGTGGGTTTTGAACCAGTGCTGTCATGATCCAGTGCACCCAAGTGCTCTTGAGGATTGTAGGTTTTTACTGGGGATCTGTACACTTCAGGTTCCTGCTAGCTTAGGTTCTGTTTTTGTTGTCCTTCAAAAAAAAAAGAAAAAGAAAAGGAAGCTATTTGTTCACTGTAATAGAGTGGAATCAGAGCAATGAAATTTGGGCTCTTCCTTGGAGAGCTCAAAAGTAAATTAAGTTAATTAGGGGGCCAAGTAAAATAGAATTTGGTTTTTAGGTTCTATCTTTATATTTGAATTTAACATGACCATATATTTTCAATTGTGAAATGGACGTGTTAGAAATGCCACCAACTTCACAAATACTCTTTTACACTTGCTCATTCATCCTACCAGTGCTGATAGCTATAACTAGAAGTCATAGGTCTGGGTTACATAACAGTGACATAGGATATGTTCTCCAGATAAGGTTCTAGCTGCTGGGGATACCAGTGGGAAATAAAGAGGACAAAGTCCAAACCATTATAGGACTTACCTTTGGTGAGGAAAACAGAAAAAAAGCAAACATCTGCTATAATAACAGAGACTTTTAAGTGCTCTCCTATAACTCACCTGTCACTTACCTCAGAAGTAGAAGCTCCTGAGGAATAAAGAAGCTTAGAGAGTTTTCTGATCACCCCCAAAGATGAGGACAGTGGCTCCCAAAGTGGCAAGAATTCATAAAAAATGCACAAAAAGACCCATTAGGGGTTAGAAAGAAAATGTTGAATCTGGGGGGGAAAAATGAAAGTTTTACAAATTTTCTGATGCCTCAGTCCCTATGACCATCTGACATTTCAATATATGTGTACACTTATATGTTTATATAACTGAAATATTTTTAAAGATGCATGAATATGTTGGGGCATCTTTAAATCCTTTATATTAAAGGGGCACATATCAAGCAGTAGGAGAATACTAGGTGAGAAATTTATAGTTAGCAAGAGTAAAAATTGCTGTATATCTTCTTACAAGGTTTGGTCCTCAGGAATAAATTACAGGACTTGTAATAATGTGTTGATATAGGAGACAAGGACATGAAAAGAATAATAAATATGCCCGATAGACTATTGGAAATCTCAATAAGTAAAGCCATTTCCAAAAAAGTATAGAGTTGAGTTGGATTAACAATTTTGCTACTGGAATATCTGAATAAAGTAAACAGTTCCGCTGTTTCAATCTAGCCCATTATCTTATATCTTAACTTCTTTGTTTCCTTTAATTTTCATAGTCCAAATTTGACAGCCTGGATCCGGAATCCCTGAACAGTCAAGTCTCTAAATATGCCAAATTTGTGACTCAACTGGAAAAAGGCTTGCCACCCAACAGTGTAGTGCCCCAGCTAAAATCTAAGGTGGAAAAAATGAAAGAAAAGGTAAGTTCGGTAGAAATTATTTCCAAAACTCCAATCAGTAATATTGCTCCATGCCAGTGATACTGGCATCAGGAACTGCTCTGCACACAGAGAGGAAAGAACAGACAAACTCCATTATTGAGAGAGAACAGTCAGCCGCCCGGTCTTCAACTGACCGAATCACGCAGCTGAATCCCATGGCTTGAAGTGGCATTCGGAGTAAGAGTGTTTCCCCATCCACTCAGCCTATAGACGGCAGGACAAGGCCAGGGCAGCCTTGTCCATTGACAGCTCTGCCCCAAGCAGATCTGCCCTTTTCCCAGACGTGCCATGATGTGAGGGAGCTTGGGAAGCTTGGCAGTAGGTGGGCAGGGCTGGCTCTTTGAAACCTGTCACTGCTAAACCAGCGCTTGAAATGGGAAGGAAAAGGGAAATTATTTTTTATTCTTTTAAGCAAAAAAAGAGATAAAGGACTGAAAGAAGACATGAGTAGAAAGAGTAAACAAAGCTTCGGGCACAATGCGAAGCAAATGTTCCCTCTTGAAAAGAGTGTTTTTGTAGTTTTTTCTCCTTTAACCTTGCAATAACTAGTCAAAACAGTTCTTAAACGTTACTTATGTCAGTTTCTTTATTGCCTTTAGTGTGCTTTTAACATATAATTTTTAAAATATTCACTTGTCACCGTCTGCATTCCATCTTTTGTTCCTTGGAAATCCTGGAACTTGCATACAGTAAACTTACATACAGTAAAACTCAGTTTTTATGGGAAAAGTCATGTAGCCAGCACAACAGTATTGTACAGAATACTCCCATCACCACCCCCCACCACCACCAAATTCCCTTATGTTTTACCTTTGCAGTTGCTCCATCTTCAGTCCCAACCCCAGGGAACCACTGATCTGTTTTCTGACCCTATAGTCTTCTCTTTTGCAGAATATGATATAAACTGAATGATACAATATGGAGGCTTTTGAGTCTGACCTCATTCACTTAGAAAAATGCATATATGCCATGCACTCATATCCAGAATGCATCACATACTCTTATAACTCAAAAATAAAAAAGGTAAAAAAAAAAAATCCTTTAAAATGGGCAAAGGATTTAATAGACATTTCCCCAAAGAAGATATATAAAAATATGCTGAACATCATTAGTTATTAGGAAAAGACAAATTAAAGCCACAATAAGATACTACTTTGTACCCACAAGGATGACTGTGATCAGAAAGACAAATTATAGGCAAGGATCTGGAGGAATTAGAAGCATCATATTTTCTGGTGAAATTATAAAGCAGTACAGCCTCATTGGTTTGGCAGTTTCTCAAACCAACATAAACTTAATTTACCAAGTCACTCCACTCGGTATATACCTAAGAGAATTGAAAACATGTTCACACGAAAATTTGTATATGAATGTTCATAGTAACATTATTCATAACTAGAGGCCCAGTGCACAGATTTGTGCACCAGTGGGGTCCCACAGCCTGGCCTATGCCCTCTCGAAATCCAGGACCCCTCGGGGAATGTCAGAGAGCCAGTTTTGGCCAGACCCCTGCAGGCCTAATTAGAATTTTTAAAATCTCTCTATGTTGTTACATGAAGCAATAGTTCATTAATTTTTATTGCTGAGTACTATTCCATTGTGTACATTACTACAGTTGATTATCTAATGTTTTTGCTAATGTTATGTGTTCTGTCTTTACATATACAGCAAACAATATATTGTCATTATTTTTGTTCTAGATAGTTAGCTTTTAATATAATAAAGAAGGGGAAAAAATTTACCTTTATTCCATTTCCAATGTTCTTTTTTTCTTTGTATGGATGTAAGATTCTGACTCAGCATATTCATTCTGCCTGAAGAACTTTCTTTAATATTCCTTACTGAATAGATATGCTAACAATGAATTCCCTAAATTTTTGTTTTAAGAAAGTCGTTAATTTTTTTGAGTGATGTTTTCACTGGATATATAATTCTGAACTGACACATTTTGTTTTGTTTTCATAAACTTAAAAGTATCCTTTCATTATATTCTTGCTTGTATGGTTTCTAACAAGAAATCAGCTGCAGTTCTTTTTCTTGATTTTTCTGTGGATAATATGTTTTTTTCTGTCTGGCCGCCTTCAAGATTTTATCTTTTCCTTGTTTTTTGGCAGCTTGTAATGCAATATGCCTAGGTGTGTGTTGATGTCATTTTGTTGTTGTTGCAGTTTTATGGTTTGTATTTGTTCTGCTTGGTTTTCTCTAAATTTTTTGGATCTCTGGTTTGGTATCTGTCTTTAATTTTGAAAAAAAATGCAATGTAACTGTTATTTCTTCAAATATCTCTTTTTCTCTGTTTTCTAGCACTTATTCTTCTGGAATTTCTATTACATGTGTTTTAGACCATCTAATATTGTGCCACAGCTTCTGCATATTAGGTTACAGGTTTTCGTGGGGGAGGAAGGGGACACTAATTTTTCTCTGTGTATTAGTTTGGGGAATTTTTACTCATTTATCTTCATGTTCACTGATTCCTTAGCTGTGTCAAGTTCATCAAAGGCTCTCCTTAGCTCTCTTACTATCTTTTTTATATCTAACATCTGTTTAATTATAATTTCCATCTTCGTATTAACATTTCCCATCTGATGTTGCATGTTGTCTACCTTTCCTATTAAAACCATTAATATATTCATCACACTTTTTAAATTTTATTTATTTATTTATTTATCTTCACCCCAGGGAACTTTCCATTGATTTTTAGGTAGAGAGGGAGGGAGGGAGGGAGAGAAACATCGATGTGAAAGAGACACACAAATTGGTTCCCTCCCGCATGCACTCTGACCAAGGTCTGGGATGGAACCTGCAACCTAGGTAGGTGCCCTTGACCAGAAATCAAACCTTTTGACCCATCAGTGTGAGATCTGACGCTTTAACCACTGTGAAACCCTGGTCAGGGCATTAATCACACTTCTTTTGTAGTCCCTGTCTGTTAATGCTAACGTGTCATATCTGAGTCTGGCTCTGATTGTTTTTTGTCTCTTGGATGCATGTTTGTCTTGTCTTTTAATATACTACTTAAATTTTGGTTACAAGCCAACATTTTTAGATTTGTGTAATATAGTAAGTAATGCCTTTCCTTCCACTTGGTGTTTTGTGTGGCACGTTACGTTACATCTAGGTAGGAACTGGGGTACCTTTGAGGTTTGATGTTCCTATAGCTGCCGTCAGTATACCACAGCCTTTAAATTGTCCTAGTGGGAGGAGGGTGAGGTGGGAACTGGGTGGAGGGGAGTTATGGGGGGAAAAAAGAGGAACAAATGTAATAATCTGAACAATAAAGATTTAATAAAAAAAATGAAAATAAAAATAAATTGTCCTAGTGATACCTTGTGTGTGAGGTTTGATCTGGTTTGCCAAAGATCATTGTTTCCATTTCCCCCTGACTTTGTGGCCTCCCTTTGTATTGTGCCCAGAAAGAATCTGTCTCATAGTTTCCACTCTGTACTCCACTGTTTTTTCCACTCAATACTTGTTAGCCTGGTAGAAGAAATGAAAGGGGCAGTCCCTCCTTTCTGAGTAAGTTCTATCTTAACAAGGCATTGTGTCCCTTGTTCTCAGAGTTCTTACAGTATTCCTG